ACGGGGTGGACAAATTTAAATAAACTCTAGCTCACAAAGAGCCAAATGCCTAGTCGAAAATATTACTAGGATCCATTCTCAAACAATCTCTTGCCAGTAAGGACGTGGTACGTGTCCTCTAACCGGCAGTTTCGCCGCCAAATGGCACTGCAGGTAAACGGTTATGACCCGGGGCCCTCTGAACCGAGTGGTTTTGCCGCCAAATGGCACCACGATATACCGGTTATGGCCAGAGCCAATACGCTCCTTAATGTCGTTAAATCCTTGAGATTTGAATCAATAGGATATGATCGATAGGGCACAAAGCCCTCTGTTAGCTTAGGTTGATTCAAATTTGTCCCCTTAGATAAACATCCAACCCAGGTCTACAAGGTCCCCTTGGACGAAGCAACCCACGGCTGCCGACAAGGATCCTTCTGTCAGGTTGGGTCGACTACCTCCTCTGACTAAGTAGACCAGGGACCACGATGGCCCGGGACGACGGAACCATGGGATCTTGATCGGGTCTATCATCCATTCCCCCACCATCCGCTTTAAGTGCAAGATGGTGAAATTTCTATTTTAAATATTAAACCTTCCAAAACCATCAAATATCCCAATCTAAATCATTCAAATTCCAATTTCCAAATCCATTGCTGCTATTATATGCTAGATAACACGTATTATATACGTATCTGATTGACGACTAGCCTTAATCGAAAGTTCTCTCTCATGATCGGGAGGGGTAATTAACTATAGGGGCTTGCGCCTATAGGAAACCAGAACTCAGATCATAAAGTCCTCGCAAAATGAGGGCGAAATCTCTGGGTAGTGTCTTATCTACAAACTCATATGTCTTCCAAAATTTACCTCGGAACTTAGTTCGTTAAAACTCCCTCGCCGAATAAGAAAAGCGAGTGGAGGACGAGGCCAAATTTTCGGAGCCCACATTCACGCAACTGAGCAATGCCAAAATATTTCAAAAAATACCCCCATGCATGCACTATGATATTTATACACAAGCATAAAGAAGTGCATATGTAATCATACACCAACATGGGCCCCGACGAGCATGTTATGGGTACACACGTGATGCCTAGGTATGTTGTGCGGGTCAATAAGTGAATATAAGTTCAAACCCGATTCTTATATATGGGTAAATAGAAGTCGACACAGTTCGAACTATCAAACAAATACACGGTCACGACGGCGACCGAAATAGTTGTTTTAATACGTTCATGTTGAGCCTTAAGGCCTGTAACCAAGAAATTTCATTAGCAAAGAGATAAAGCCTACAAAAAACCTGATCCTCTGTCGACAACTAACAGAGTCGACAAGGTTCAATCAACAAATACAAATGCCCATTAATACCTCGATGATGGTCGTGTTGAACGAAAATCTTAATCAGAAGGATTATCATAAATATTTTTAAATACTTCCCAAATATCCATCAAACATTCAAAATCCAAAAAAAAAATACCAAAAACCATAATATTTAAAATTGAAATAAACCATTAAATGCTTAAAACAAAAATTTATCCATCCTCCGCAACAATTTATCGAGGTGGACAAATTCAAATATGACTTTAACGCATAAAGAGTTACTCTATGATTGAGAATATTACTAGGATTCATTCTCAAAGTCTCCTTCCAGTAAGGACATGACACGTGTTCTCTTGCCGGCTATTTTGCCACCAAATGGCGTCGCAGGTAAACGGTTATGACCGGGGTCCCTGAACCAGGTAGTTTGCCGCCAAATGACACCACTAAATTATAGGTATGGACATAGCTAGTATGTTGTCCAATGGCATAAAATACTTAAGATATAAATCAATAGGATATAATTGATACGACACAAAGCCCTCTGCCAGCTAAGGTGGATTCAAATTTGTCCACTTAGACAAACATCCATCCCAAGTCTTCAAGGTACCATTGGATGAAGCAACCCATTGCTGCACAACAATGATCCTTCTGTCAGGTTGGGTCGACTACCTCCTCTGACTTAGTAGACCAGGGACCACAATGACCCAGGACAACTAAACCATGGGATTTTGATTGGGTCCATCATCCATTTCCCCATCATCCGCCTTAAAGTGCAAAATGGTGCAATTTCCAATTTTAAATAGTAAATTCTCATATTTTGAAACCCATGCTGCTACTATATGCAATATATCATGTATTTCTATGTATCTGATCGATGACTAGCCTTAATCAAAAGTTCTCTCTCGTTATCGAGAAGGGTAATTAACTATAGGGGCTTGCGCCTATAGGAAACCAGAACTCATATCATAAAGTCCTCGCAAAATGAGGGTGAAATCTCTGGGTTTTGTCTTATCTACAAACCCAATCTGACTTCCCAAAATTTACCCCCGAACTTAATCCATTAAAACTCCCCCGAAAAGCAACAAGGAGGCCGAGGCCGATGGTGATGGACTACTTACACCATAGTTAGATCTTGGTGGTGGCCATAAATATGTAAGTGAACAAGAAAACATGAACTAAAAAATTTCAACAAAATAAATCTTCATCCAAAGATTAAACAAATACAAAAAACTGACAGATTTTTTGTTGATGGATATGAAAATCTTTATTAGAACTCAAAGAAGACAATTTTAGCAGAACAAGTAGAAGGGGAGAAAATGAAAAAACTAGAGAATGGGAGCTTAAACAGCCATACAAATCATGCCAATGGTAGCCCAACGGCTACCCCATTTTATTTTATTTTTTTAAATAGGAAAATCACCACGTGGAAGGAAATTTACGCCACGTGGCAAGGGGAATCATCAGATGTTGGGCAAGTGCTCATGTGGCAAGGGAAATCGCCCACATGGTGACGGCTATGTTTATTTTCAAAATTTGAATTCCCCTAAATTTTTAAATGAATAAGTTTTTAAAATTTAGCCTGTACAAGCAGCTGTTGGGCTTCTCTGCATTTGGACTGTGTATGCGCTTTTAGGAATCCAATATCTATTTTCTTACGCACTTAGCACCATGTGGAAATTCATATGGTTTTTCATTAAAAAATTGTATATATTAAAGGTTTCAAATGCAGAGATCAAGAAATTGTTGGATGATGGAATTAAGAGTTCTTCCAAGAGTTTTAAGAATTATTTCAGAATAGTGAAACTGATAAAAGTGGTTGTTGTTAGTAATTAAATGTCCCCATCCATCCAATTTGAACAAATGTGTTTCAGTTTTGTGCCTCTTAAAATGTGTGTACTCTTTCTTTCTTTTTTTTTTCTTTCTTTTTTTTTTCTCTAATGAAACATGCAGCCTACATTTTTCATGTCAAATCCAGGTAAATATCAAATCATATGCAAACAACAATGAGCTAGCAGTAATGCCTCAGGACAGAATAGCTCGATTAGAATGGGATAGGCGATACCTCTCGGTTCTCGGTGTTGGCAATAACCGCCTGTATGAATTGAGGTTGCAAACCCCTGAAAGTGTGTTTGTGGACGAGGAGAAAGATCTAAGAAAAGTGATGGACTCCTTCAGAGTCATCAACTCAGTAGATTGAAATGGATGCTTTCCAGCTTTCAGGCCTAAAGTGGTATCTTGAAGAATATCCTGGACCCCAAATTTTTGTGCTATATTTTATTTTGGAAGCTGTTGAAAAACTGCTTGTTCCATTAGCTTATGACAGTTTTTAGGTGTTACAGCCAAATCAACTGGGCTCTAGTGTTCTATCCTCATTTTTCTTTAGCAACAGCGAGGGTCACAGTAGTAAAAAAAATTCATTTCCATGTTTTTGAATAGGAGCATGTATAAATTGGGGCTAAAAATCATTCAGGAGCCTAGAAGCCTAATTCTACCCAATACTGGTCAGCTAATCTAATCAGACTGGGCAATGATGAGTGATTCTGTATTGATTGCGGTGAAGCTAGCAGGTTGGAGTAAGCGTGTGTTAATTATTAAGAGATTCATGAAGAACCATTTGATTGTAGTTTATTAAAGTTGTCGGTGGCTTATTTATTCAGAAATTGCTGATCACAAAAAGGTTATAAGTTTGTTTGGGCATTATCAGTTTGGATTAGCTAATGGGCCCTTGGTCCCTTTATATTTTAAACTTGAATTGACATTTTTAGAACTAGCTTCTATTTCAAGACAATCTTGGATTTGGGTAAGGGGCAACTTTTAACTTAAAGGGACAAGGCCTTTAAGGCTTTTGGGCTCAGCTCTTTAGTCTATAAAGATTGAGATTGAACCTATTCTAAAAGATAAGTCAACAACTTGAGCTATGCTTCTACCCCTACAATGCCGCGCCCAATAGTGTCGTTGAGTTTTTATATTGCATCCTTCTTTTCTTCTCCCTTTATATCATAAATGTTCAAGCCTTGTCCAAAAATAGGTTTCATTCTTCTTGCTTCAAATGACTTTAGCCACTGAAATGATGGAGGAGAGTTGTCCTACTATGGAAGTGCTTTCCATATTGGCAAAGAGAACTTGCTTTTTAGTTGCACTATTTCATAAGTCACATCATCTATATATGTTGATCTAGTAGTGAGGCTATGATAATCTGTTACTTTATCTTATGCATCATAAAGGCTTGGTTTTAAAATAATGTGGTGTAGTCATGTAGGCATTGCTAGTATTTTTGTTTTTGTTGTTTCTTTTACATATATTGGTCTTCTTCATGGGCATTGTTAAAAAATTGGGACGAAGTTAGGCCTTTAAGATTGAGACCTTGCCAAATTTTTCATGTTATGGTTTTTTGGATTGGTCTTTCATCACATGAGAGCATATGATGATATTTTTAATCAAGTATAAGATGTTTTTTTTGTGTAATATTGTAGTTGTGAAAAGATAAATTTGAAGTGCTTCCAGCCCATTGTTTACCTTATTCTTGTTTACTACTTGGAAAGAGGATAGTCTACTTTGCATCAAAGTTAAATGGAAGTTGATGTTGTAACGTTGAACATTTTAGTTATAATAGAGCTTAGGTCTAATATATCTTTAATTTCTAAAATTGTTCTTTTGCTTTATAAATAGTTAAGATTATGTGTAAGAAGGGGAATGAAGAATATTAAGCCCTGAGCCTGTGTTTGTTCCCTGGTTTTAAAGTTGAGATTGAACCTTTTCTAAAAGATAATTCAACAACTTGAGCTATGCCTCTACCTCCTAATGTGCCACACCCAATAATGTCATTGAGTTTGGATATTGCATCCTTCTTTTCTGCTCCCTTTATATCATAAATGTTCAAGCCTTGTCAAAAATAGGTTTCATTCTTCTTGCTTCAAATGACTTTAGCCACTGAAATGATGGAGGAGAGTTGTCCTACTATGGAAGTGCTTGCCATATTGGCAAAGAGAACCTGCTTTTTAGTTGCACTATTTCATAAGTCACATCATCTATATATGTTGATCTAGTAGTGAGGCTATGATAATCTGTTACTTTATCTTATGCGTCATAAAGGCTTGGTTTTAAAATAATGTGGTGTAGTCATGTAGGCATTGCTAATACTTTTGTTTTTGTTGTTTCTTTTACATATATTGGTCTTCTTCATTGGCATTGTTAAAGAATTGGGACGTAGTGAGGCCTTTAAGATTGAGACCTTGCCAAATTTGTCATGTTATGGTTTTTTGGATTGGTCTTTCATCACATGAGAGCATATGATGATATTTTTAATCAAGTATAAGATATTTTTTTGTGTAATACTGTAGTTGTGAAAAGATAAATTTGAAGTGCTTCCAGCCCATTGTTTACATTATTCTTGTTTACTACTTCCAAAGAGGATAGTCTACTTTGCATCAAAGTTAAATGGAAGTTGATGTTGTAACGTGGAACATTTTTGTTATAATAGAGCTAAGGTCTAATATATCTTTAATTTCTAAAATTGTTCTTTTGCTTTATAAATAGTTAAGATTAGGTGTAAGAAGGGGAATGAAGAATATTAAGCCCTGAGCCTGTGTTTGTTCCCCGGTTTTAAAGTTGAGATTGAACCTTTTATAAAAGATAATTCAACAACTAGAACTCTACCTCCTACTGTGCCGCACCCAATAATGTCATTGAGTTTGGAGATTGCGTCCTTCTTTTCTGCTCCCTTTATATCATAAATGTTCAAGCCTTGTCCAAAAATAGGCTTCATCCTTCTTGCTTCAAATGGCTTCAGGCACTGAAATGATGGAGGAGAGTTGCCCTACTATGGAAGTGCTTGCCATATTGGCAAAGAGAACTTGCTTTTTAGTTGCACTATTTCATAAGTCACATCATCTATATATAGTAGCATTGATTATTGATCTTGATTTAGTAGTGAGGCTATGATAATCTGTTACTTTATCTTATGCATCATGAAGGCTTGCTTTTAAAATAATGTGGTGTAGTCATGTAGGCATTGCTAATACTTTTGTTTTTGTTGTTTCTATTGCATATATTGGTCTTCTTCATGGGCATTGTTAAAGAATTGAGACCTAGTGAGGCCTTTAGATTGAGAACATGCCAAATTTGTCATGTCATAGTTTTTTGGATTGGCCTTTCATCACATGAGAGCATATGATGATATTTTTAATCAAGTATAAGATGTTTTTTTGTGTAATACTGTAGTTGTGAAAAGATAAATTTGAAATGCTTCCAACCTATTGTTTACATTATTCTCATTTACTACATCGAAAAAAGATCGTCAACTTTGCATTAAAGTTAAATGGAAGTTGATGTTGTGATGTGAAACATTTTAATTATAATGGAGCTATCTTTAATTTTAAAATTGTTCTATTTGCTTTATAAATAGCTAAGATTATGCGTAAGGAGGATAATGAAAAATATTATATCTTTTAAGTCTTGAGCTGTGTTTGTTCCCCGGTTTTGTGTGTTCCTTCTAGCACATTATTTCCACCGATCTGCCATATCATATTGTGATTGGACATGATCATCCTTATCTTCTGATGTCTTATCTTAGGCATTTCATCCACTTTTGGATTCGGGAGATGAATTTTAGTCCCATCCTTATTTTTGATAAATAGAAGTGGGACATATACTCTATAAGATTGGTCATGTTCCTTTCTAATTTTTAGTTCTACTTTCTTTATTCTTTGTGCCAGAAGTGGTGGCTTATCCTTTGTGTCTCTGGCAGCTCTCTAATTTACTAAGACCTGGTTGTGGTCTTCTTCTAGATTTTAGTTAATACATTTCTTCTTTTTAGGATATTTTCTTGAATGTTGAATTTCTTTGTTATCTCCTCCTTTTATGTGGAGGTTGAAATATTACTTGAACTTAGCTTTAATCCTCTCATTATGTGGTCATCCCTCTATCTTAGGATTTTGAAAATTTTACATTTAGGTCCAACATTTTTGTTTATTTATACTTCATGTAAATTCAGCCAATATTAAAAAAGATAAAGCCAAAGAGATAGACATAAAAAAACTTGGTTAGAAAGTATTAAAAATAATATTTTTATTAGATTTAAATGATAATTTGATTTTTAATAGGACATAATGGAGATTAATCATTCAGATAGCTGGCCCAACATAGTGGATAAAGGCTTGTTGTTATTATTGTTGTTATGTTTGTATGTCTTTATAAAAATTTATAGTGATGGAATATTTTTTAGATTTTCTTAATCCTTCTATAATCTTCTAATAAATACTAAAAATTTATTTTTAAGTATCTCCCTTATCGATGAATTTAGAGAATATCATATTATCATGCCACTAATCTCAAGTCCTAGTCAAGCACCCACACAATTTTCTATCATAAAGTTTTGTATTAATTTATCTATTCAAATGTGTTTCAAACTCTTCCTTTTTTTATGTTAACTACTAAAAATTCATGTTTTTTGCGGCTCTTAGTATTGGCGGTTTTAAAAACCGTTATTATCGGAGTATTAGGCGGCGGTTTAATCCAGTAATGATTGGGTCGGTTTTAACCGCCGTTAAAAACGTTCTTGGCAATATCATGAGTGCAACTTTGTGAAAAACTTAGTCTTCATAGTATGATTAATTCCTTTTGTTAATTTATTTCATTTACTTAACCATTGGATTAGGAAATGAAGATCATTCCTATATTAAATAAGGTAGCCTCTCAGATATTTGGGTGCATTTAATTAAGGCTTTGTTTGGGACGATTTTCTTATTACTTTTTGAAGCAATTTTTTAATTACTTTGGAAAATATTGTTTAGTTTCTTAATTTAATAAGATGCTAATATGAGTAAAGAAATTGAATAAAGCCAAGAATTAATGAGAGACTTAATTTTAAAAGAGATAATTGAAATATATTTTTAACCATTAATTTATTTAGTTTTTTAATAATTTTATTTTTTAGAAGAATAAGAATTATTTATATATAAATTATATTAAATGATTTGTCATAATTATTCAATAAATTTTACATTAGTTGAACAACTAATTATTTAATTAACAAAATTCTATATTTTTATCATTTAGTGTTTTGTTAAAAAGTATTATGAATGATATTTTTATTAAATTTAAATAAGTATTTAACCTCGAAGAAGACAATGAAGAAAAAAAATTTATGTAGCTTATCTCACGTAATGAAATAAAGGGTTGTTAATGTTGTTATCAATTATATTAAAAAAATTGGGAGTGACTATCAACTATTATAATTAGTTAAAGTGGTTGAGAGTAGTCCACATGCCAATGATTGAACAAATGAGGAGTCCTTATCATGCCAGCTGCAAAGTATGCATTGCATATTATTAATATATTTATTATAGTCAGCATTTTGTTTTTTGGGAAAATTATAGGGGATTTTCACACATCCATTAAATGAAAAAAAAATTACATAAGCCTCCAAAGGAGATAGCAACTACAAGCAAAAGATAGCGGAAACACCTAAAAGTTGAGCACAACAACTTCAAAAACCAAAACACCAAAACTAAATAGATAAAAATTAAGAAAAAAGCCTAAATGACTCAGGGAAGGCAAGCATTCTTGCAAAAATTCCTCAAAAGAAAAAAAATCTCACTTGCTTGCCAAGGATAAGGGCCTTCCATATGAAGCAAAATGACAGTTAGAAGAAAATAAAATATGAGGTCCCAATATGAATACGACAAAGACCAACCAAG